GGTCCCCTCCTCTCCTTCCCGGAAGCTGCCGGGGTCGGCGCAGCTGCCTTTGCCCGCCGGGCGCTGCGGGACAAAACCAGCCTCCAGCGCGGAGCTGGGGCCCGGTTTGAGGGGGTGTCCCGCGGGAATGGCGCGCTGCTGCCTCCCCTCCCCCTTGGGGTGCTGCCGGGGTGAAGTGACGCACAGCCGGGTCCGGTTGTTTTCCCTTGGGACAGAATCTACAGCGTGAGGAAGGTGAAGAGAAGGCCCGGTCCGGGAGTGAAGAAGAAGAGCTCCAGCCGACACCAAACGAGGCGCCTGGAAGCACAGCCAGCACGGGGGGAGGCAGCGACCGCAGTCCAGCGCTCCCATCCCCTCCTGATGCTGGTGCTGGTGCCGACGCAGAGAGGACAGGCTGGGAGGACTCTGAGGATGATGTTCTGAAATACGTCAGGGAGATCTTTTTCAGCTAACGTTTCCTCCTCTGCGGCTCCCCAGGAGCAAAGGGGACAGTGGGGAGGGTGTCCCCTCTCCAGGCCCTCCTCCCACCATCCTCAGTGCTGTGGATCTGCCTTGTTGGTGGCCTGTGGAGCTGGTAGGAGGCCCGTGAAGGCCATGGGGGAAAAGGAGGAGGGCACTCGCTTCTCCCAGTGTGTGCTGGGTTCAGTGGGATTTGGCTCCAGATTAGGTTACGTTCGTGTCTTTTTGGCATCTCAGAGCATGGACAGATTAAAGAGGACATTCGGCTTTCTATAAGTGTCCCTTTGGTGGGTCAGTGCTGGGACTGGAGGGGAGTAGGGAGTTGCTGGCTCTGCAAGGCCTTAGCTGGCTCTGCAGAGTCGGATAGTCATGGTTCAGCCTTGGGGCTTCCTTGTCCTTTCTGTCCCTCTGTGATAGCTGCAGTGGGGCCTGGCAGGCTGTCCCAATTGGATCTGATGCTGAATTTGCCTCCAGGCTCAGGCACGCCTCCCATAGCTGAGGAAGACATGGGTGGTAGCAGACTGGCAGGGGCAGGGACCATCCTGAGGGGGCTGACACCATGGCAGTGTGCATGGGGGTCTAGGAAGGGATGAGGATGGCTGAGCGTCCTCTTCCCACTCCGAAAGTGGGATGAACAAACCCCAGGAGACCAAAGCAGGTGCAAGAGTCTTTACTGAAACAGAGTCAGTCAAATAAGCACCACCAGCCACATCCCCACCAAGACTGCAGCAGAAGAGAAAATGGCCTCATGTCCCCAAAGAGGATGTGGGGGAAAGAAGGTTCTTCTTTGTGCAAGGTTAAGATGTGGCAGGGAGTGGCGCTGTGCTCCGCCAGGGCGGAGAGACCCCATCCAGTGCTCCGGCTATGGTGGCCCAGCTGGGGCACCGTATCCCGGCCTTTGCCGGCCCTGGCTGCTCCCCAAGCGCACCCTCGTGCGGGGCATGTGTTGGTCTGAGCTGGGTTTGCGGTGCGCTGCCCTCGCACAGCACCAGTGCTCCTGAAGTCTCAAAGGCTGCTGGAGTGCTGGCCCCAGGCCCTTACTATCAGCTGGGAAAGACCTGGGGCTCTACACCAAAATCTTCTGCTTCCTTGTGGAAACCCTCCTCACTAGGGCTGTGCTCAGTGGTCAGCAAGTTCTTAGGCTGCCCCTCCGGGGGCTCTGTGCTGGTTCTGACCTGTCCCCTTTGCTGTCCTCTGGGTCAGGGACAGAAATGCTGTCGCTTTGATGCTGTGCCCCAGGTTGAGAGGTGTGTTACATGCTGCTGTTCCTGGGAAGCTTCCACGTTTGTGCTGTGGGTGTTGGTGTCTGCTGCCTGCTCGCTGCAGGAGCACCGCACACAGCCGTATGCCAGACCATGGCTGGACATGGGCCTTTGGACCAAATTCCTGCCAGTGACTAAAGCTATGGAAGGATTACTGTTTTAATTCAGGTTATCGATAGCTCTTGCATCTTCTTCATGAAATCTTAATGGGCAGGGCCTTCTCAGTAAAAGGGCTTTAATATGGGTGTGTGTGCTTGGCCCAGCTGAGGTACATAGCGACGGTCAGAATCTGGAGCAGTAGCAGAGCCTGAGTCCCAAGCAGTGCCCAGAAGCCCACGGTGAAATCAGAGGGGTAAATCCACCGTGAGGTTTGGAGAAGAAATGTAACCAGGCCTCCAGACAGCATTATTGTCTTGAAGCTGAGTGCGATGAGGATCGCCTTCCAGCCCTTTCTCTCCTCTGTGCACTTCACATATGTCACAACAATGGGGTAGAAGGTGATGAAGACCAGGCAGGCATACACACTAACCCTGGCTAGCACCATTCCTGGTAGGCTGATGCCCATCGCCTGCAGATGCTTGAAGTCCAGGCACTGCAGCTCCCCGGCTGTTTCATTCCACAGGCAGAAGTTGTAAAAGCCAATACGTTTGTCAGGGAGGTCGACCAGGTTGCCGGCTTCCCACAGCAGCGCATAGAGCATCAAGGCCAAGGTCCCAGCAGCCTCGAGGAGGATGAGCGCACAGAGCAGGTTCTTGGTGCACCTCTGTTGCAGCAGACCCATCCTGGCGCCCACGTGCTCTCTTGATACCATGGTGAAGCTTGCTGTGGGGACACCTGCTGCAAAACATGAAGGGGGGGCACCCCTTGGTCATTGTGTGTTATGGCACCCTTCCCAAGATGTGCTCTGAGCCTGTGTCACTGAGGTGTCCAACTCCCCTTGCAAGTAGAGCAGGAGGGTCTCAGTCGTACCTCTGTGCTGTGCACATGTTACTGGGTGCATTTTTGGTCACAGCAAAAGTGGCTTAATGATGTCCCACGTGTGGATCAGCACTGGGAGGACAGTATGTCTCCGCTAGCCCCACACATGCCCTCTGCACCATGGTCTCACGTTGGACAAGAGAGGCATTTGTCAGCAAACTGCAGTGATGGGAGGGGAGCAAAACACTGCTGTCAGTAAGGAAGGGGTTAAGAGCTATTCTGGGAAAATGCTTTTCTTTCAGTTCTGGTCAGACAAGGGCATCCCTTGTGATCTTTGGACAACTGAGTAAAATGCAGGCATGACAGGGTCTGAAGTGCAGAGCTCCCCCTGCCTCCCCACCCCAGCTCTGGGACACCGTATTCCATTGATGCCACTTGTTTGCAGCACGCACATGCCCCTGCGGCCCTTTTGTGCTTGTACATTTCTGGGCACAGCTGGGCTGATCGCCCACAGTCCTGCTCCCCACTGATGCTGGTAGACATGATATTCCTCCGTTCCATTTGCCTGAGGACTGATGTCCCACGTGGACAGGCAGTTGTCCACCACAAAGAGGGACCCTACACCTACCTGCAGCCCCTCACCCTCTGAGGCCCAGGGAGATGGGTGCTACGGTGACAGACCTGCGGTTGCCATCTTCCTCGCTCCTCTCTCTGGCTGCCTGGCAAAGCCGACTCCCTGCTCCTCTCCCAGAGATGTGGACTGTCCTCAGTGCTCCCTTGCAGGCTTCTGCTTCGCGCTGAAAAACGGGGAAGTGGTATCAAGAAAGGGTATCGCTAGCTGCAGAGCCACGCGGTGTGGCAGCACCGGCCACCCGGGTCTGCACAGAGGCACAAACACAGGGCAAGGAGCTCACAGAACTTGGCTTCAAGCTCAGCCTCCGGCTTCAGGCTCTGCGAATAAGCCCTTTCCTGCCTTCGCCAAGCATTATCTCCGATGAATCATTTACCACCTTCCCTCTAGAAGTTCACAGTGTTGGTCCTGCTGTCTCCCCTCCACTGCCTGTTGCCCAGTGGTCTATCATCCTGATGTCCTGGATGTCCCAGGCCATCACCCCACAGCTGCTTGTGGATTTGGTACAGCCTCTGAGTTTTTAGAGTGCCAGGAGAGACTCCGCGTAATCTGTACCCGATGCCTGTCGGCAGTGCTGGTGACTAGAGACCCGTCAGCATACCCCTCCCGCTCGCTCTCTCCCTGGATTCTTGGGAGTGGGGGACCTATCTTTAATTTGCACAGGGATAAAGCTTCTCTGTCTCAAACTTCTCCTCCTCCACACAGTCATAGCCAGGAGGAGCACGCACACACAGCATGGAAGGGGGTCACAGCATCCAGACACAGACCTGTCCCCTTCCCTGCTGTTCCTCTCCCTCATGCCTGCCCACCATTCTCCCTGCCATCCTCCCTCGCAGCCCTCAAGAGGGAGAACAAGCTGCGCTTGAAGGGGGCTCTTGGTTAGCTGACCGGCTCCTCAGGGGCTTCTGGTGGAGCTCAGAGCTAGGACTGGTACAGCCCAGCTGGCTCTTGGCACTGCCCACCCACCAACCCATGCTGTCCAATTTCTTTAGACCAGTTTCCTAAGGAAGGCAGGCTTGTAGAAACACGGGCTTTTTGTTCAATCATCTCCTGTTACCTTTTATCTGCCCTCCCCCCCCCCAAAATACAAAAGCAATTAAAAATTGTCCTAGTCGCACATGTTTACTAGAGAGGGGACAGAGAATTAAACTCCTAGCAGGTTTGTGGAAATAAATAGCAGGGGTGGAAGGAGGAGAGTCACCGCAGAAACCCTGTGCTGTTATGTGACCTCTGCGTGTATGAGTGCCCTGGGGGAATCCCATGGTATCTCTGCCCTTTCCTTTGCTTTAGAGCTCATGTCTATAAAGCTCATGTTTCTTTTCCCAGCAATGCCCCTCCGTTCACTCTGCCAAATTGCGGGCAGATTTGTGTCCCCAGCCCAGCCCAGCAGGTAAATCAGGTACGACTGTGACAGGGATAGATCATGCCTGGTGCGGGTGCCCTGGGGGAGCTGGGGCAGAGAGTGCGTGGCTGGTCCGAAGGTGATGTACGGTTTGGCAACAAGAGCTGGGAACACTGGTGCCCTGCCACTGGTTGCAGACCGAGACACGACATTCATGAGCTCTGCGGCACGGCGCCGAGGCCGGTTTGGAGGCAGCCTGGCTGAGGAACAGGGGATAAACAGGAAAGAGCTGTCACCCGGCGTCCAGCTGGAGCTTTTCCCAGATAACTGCAGCCCCTCCGCCGGTGCCTTTGGACGAGGGGAGTCTGTGGCTCTACCTCAAAGGTGCAAGAAAGAGGAACCCGAGCATGGCACAGGGTGCCCCAGCCTGGCTTCAGCCCCCTGTTTTTGGGCAGGTGTTGCTGGAAGCACTGGGCTTCACCATGGGAGAACTCTGTTTCTCAGTCTCCCGAGTGGAGAGGGGCTCCATGTGCACGGCTCGGGAGCTCCCTGGGGTGTCTGTGTGCGAGATGGAGCTCATAGGGACCCTCTGTGCCATCGGGACTTCGTGGCCCATCCCTCTGCTGGCTCATGGGCAGGTGAGCACCCCAACCTTCCCAGGCTGGGGCTGTGCCTTCCCCGTGGCGAGCTGCTGGCTGGGTGCCTGGGCAAAGCCAGCGGGACAGGGAGGCCAAGGCACACAGCTCTGGTGCAGGATGTGACCTCTGTGCAGGGACCAACATCTCTGTGGAGCTGCTGGATGCTGCCGCAGCAAACAGGCTAAATGCAAAGCGGCGAGGGAAGGGGCATTTTCTCTTGTGCTGAAGAGCCCTTCAGAAGACTTGGCTTTCCTGCATCCCCCCTCCTTGGCTGCTGAGGGGAGTAATGCTGTGCAGGAGCGGTGGGAAAGGAAAGCGGCTCTGGACTTGGCGCCTTTCCTTCAAGCCACCCACTCCACCCCCAGGATCCCTCTTTCCCCTTCGGGCAGGATCGGCTGTGGAGAAACCACAGGTGAAGAAAGGCTGCTGACAATCTAACTATTGCTGTCGAACAGAAACCAGCCAGCGGCAGAGGGACTGGACTGTGGAGGAACTGCCCTGAAAGTGTCCCACAGCTGGGGAAGGACCTGCTCCCTCCCAGGCATTTGCACCCTGCAGCACCACTTCTTCTCCTGGCAGCTCCCCCCTGATGCCAGCAGCATGAAAAAGGTGGAGGACCCAGCAGAGGATACTTACAGGCTGCCTATCCAGCTGGGTGCGGAGCCGAAACACGCTGAAGAGGTCGGAGGTGCCGCCCTGGGGACCTGAGTTGCTGCCAGGTCCTGAGCAGGCTGATGTCTGACACCACAGCCCCTGTTGTGTCACAAGGCAGCTGCCTCTGCTTTCTCTTTCGGTTTTGAGGGCCATGGGAACCTCATGCAGTGCTCCTCCCCGACACCGCGTCATCTAAACATGAGCAAGAAAACAAGCTGAGCCCAGCCACAGCCATCCAAGCTGGGGGAAGGTTTGCACTTTCTTTTCCCGGCTGTGCTAACTGACCTGAACAACTGACCGGGGCTAAGCACACCCAGGAAAGTTGCACCACTAGAGGGGCTTGGGTGCCTTTGGGGGCTGAGATGAGTTTGTATTGTTTGGACGTTTCTGTAGAGGTGACTGACGGTCACAGTGCCAACTCCAGTACCGTCAGACTTCACTCACCATTTGCCCTTCTTTGCACTTTGAACGCTGCTCCCCTCCTTCTGCTTCCCACACTCGGCTTTGCAGCTCCCCCCCCGGGCCGCGGACACAGTGCCCACGTAGGCGCAGCGCAGGAGAAGCAGCAAGCCGCCTGCTGCGACAGGAAACCTGCAAAACCTTGAGTGATGTAAGGGGCAAAACTCTCCTTCCTTTAGTCCTCCTGGCCAGATCCAGAACCATTTGTCCTGTCCTATAAGCAGCCTTGGTGGTGGGTATGTTAGAGAGGTGCGTGTTGGGAGGTCATATATGTGGGACACCCAGCCATGAAGCTATTCAGAGTCCCACCTAGTAATTCCACATTTAGGTATGGTCTGGAAACTTCCAGGTAGTACACAGCTTGTGAGCCTGTAATCTTGGCACTCACATCCAAGAGCACAAGGGACGTGAAAGGAAATATGGGAGGAAGCCTTCCTAGAAGCTTAATAGGTAGAGCCATCAGGCAGGTGGTGGTGGGGAGGTCCCATCCTATCTGGCATGAGTGCGTGGAATAACTTTAGCATTGCGAAGGACAAGGATCTGTATCGAAGTGGTTCAGATCACATATGGCGTGGGCAGGAGTTATGGTGGGATAAAGCAGGGGCAGGGTTGGAGAGCTTGCAGCAAATAAAGCCTAGCAGGCCAGAGCTGCTGAGTGAATGCGGTGGATGGTGGGAACACAGAAGGAGGCCTTGGGGCTGAATATGGCCATCATCTAACACTGAGGCTGCTGGCTGGGAAATTGAGGTATGAGCAGAGGCCACGGCGGCAAGACCTATGTTCCAGTGAGGAAACATGCATTGGCAGGAGGCATGTTTGTGCTCTCAAGAGGGGTGGTCATGCAGTTTCACCTCACGTCACTCACTTTTCTGTCATTCAGGAAGGAAAAGGGTGTATGATTTGGGTCTGGTGATGAGCAAACTCCTCAGCTGACCTCAGCACCACAGGGGAGGTTACTGTTTTGCCGCCACAGGCAGGAGTCACAAGCACCTCCTTCACAAACATCCCCACTTCGCATTGGGGTCCTGTTTGCTGGGGCAATCAGGGTGACTGCCACAGTGGGTCTGCTCATCATGCCACAGCACTTCTCCCTCGAGCCACTATCCTCCTAGATGGGTGTCTGATCCCCTTCCCATCTCCTGCGCCTCAGCCTTCATGAGTGTGACAGGTGGTCACACATCCTGGGTTTAGCCTTTGCACACACCTCCATCTCTCTGGCCAGCTCTGCACTGCTCAGAGCAATAAATACACCATTTGGGAATGTTATTTTTGGAGTGTGACACCTTCCTGGGCAGAGCTTGTTGCCTGATTGTGTACCTATGGCAGAAGTGCTCCTCAATGTTTCCCAAAGAGCCTTGTCTCTCCTCCCCTGCAAGGTCTTGGTTTCTCCTGCTTCTAATGCCTCCTGGGATGCCAAGGCTGCCAGCAGGGAGAGGTATCTCTGCCTCAAGACCTGCCCTTGTTACCACTGACCCTCTTATTCTGGATGCCTCCTTCCACATCTTTGGTGGCCTCTCTGGGAAGTAGTTGCCCTGCCTTCTCCTTCCAGGCGTTTGGGCAGGGAAGATTGTGCCTGAAGGCTGGGCAGGATGCAATATGCCCTGCTGTTCTCCTTCCTAGAGACATTTTACAGGTGCTCCCTGATCGCCCCTTTTGGCTTCAGATACTCAAAGTCTATCTGATGATGGAGCAGTTGGGGAAGATAGGTGTGATGGGGGTGGGGTAAGCAGGGGGATGATCAACAACATATCTCATGGAGAAAGAGTGGGAAGGAAGAGGAGAAAGACAGCAGGGCTTCTGCACAGATGTGTCTGGAGGTAGAAGAGGTCGGATGGAGTGTTTTGAGCTGTTGGAGCGTAGTGCCTGTGTGTGGGAAAGGAGAGCACTTCCCAGGAGCTATCTTCCACTCGATTCCTGTACAACCATTTTTTCCCGGAATTGTTTCCTGAAATAGAAATGTAATTTCTTGTGTGCATTAAGAAGATGCACATGGTTTCACAGTGGAATGCTGCTCTGCAGCTTTTGGTTTCTTGTGGTGCAGTTAAAGCACACACAGCAACACTGTCAACAATA